AACAAGGTGGAGGAGGAGCAGATGTCAGCAATGCCACCCAGCTAATGCCGGGGGTGGGGGCCACGCAGCGGGTAAGGAGCCGAGCGCCCAGACCAGCGATGGCGGAGCTGTGAGCACGCCAACACGGGGCCTGGCATGGTGGTGTGGTGCCAGGCCAGCTGTGCCGCAGGCGGATCCACCTCCATGGGCTCCCCATGGTTGCTCACAGCGCTGGCCCGGGCGCGATGGAACCGGGCTCCCTTCCTCCTCTCCCTCCGCTGCCTGATGGTCATGGTGGGCCCCCTCCTCCTCTTCGGTTCTGGGGCCCCCAGCTCCCTCTTCCCATTCATAACTACGCTCTCCTCAGCTCTCGCTCTCTTCGTGCTGGACATGGCTGCCACCTGCCCAGCACTCTCAGAGACGAGTGCGCCAGGTGGGGCAGCAGTGACCAAGGTGACGGCTGTGACATGGGGAAGGTTCCACAATGGCACCTGTGCTGCTGCTGGGAGTGGCGTTCCGCACGGGATGAGGAGGGGGCTGCAGGGCACGGCACGGCGGCTAGAAGGCGCTCCCTGTGCCCAGTGGGCAGCCCTTCTCTCCGGCGAGCAACAGGGCACAGAGGAGCCGAAGCCGAGGAGAGGGCCCGCAGCCTCCTTCGCCCTCTCCCTCCTGCCACGTGGGAATCCCCTTATGGGGCTGGGCCACGCAGCACACAACACTCAGGGCACGCTCAAGGAATTTCCTGAGGTCAGCGCAAACAACGGCGCGCTCCAGAGTGGAGCTGACGACGCCTGCCTGCTGGGAGACAGAAGCCCTGGCTTCCATTTCAGCATCCAGCGCCTCTTCCTGTGGCGCAAACATTGAGCGTCTGGGCACTCAAATATTACCTACATGAATACATCCAAGCGAGTTCTCAACAAAACTTTCTGAGTCTCTGAGGTTTTTTCCATTAAATCTGGGGATTTCTGCTAGAAATCCCTGCTTTTCCCCTTAAATCTGGGGTATTTCCCCTTAAATTTGGCTTTTTCTGCTAGAAATCCCCGTTTTCCCCCTTAAATCTGTTTTTTTTTTTTCCATTAAAACTGGGGTTTTCACCCAGAAATCCCTGTTTTTCTCCTTAAATCTGAGGTTTTTCCCATTAAATATGGATTTTTCTGCTAGAAATCCCTGTTTTTCCCATTAAATCTGGGTTTTTTCCCATTTAATGTGGCTTTTTCTGCTAGAAATCCCTGTTTTTCCCCTTAAATCTGGGGATTTCCCCAGAAATATGGCTTTTTCTACTAGAAATTCCTGTTTAACCCCTTACATCAGCGGTTTTCTCCCAGAAATCCCTGTTTTTTCCCTTAAATCTGGGTTTTTTCCCCTTAAATATAGCTTTTTCTACTTCAAATCCCTGTTTTTCCCCTTAAAGCTGGGGTTTTTCTATTTAAAACAAGGGTTTTCTCCAAGAAATCCTTGTTTTTCTTCTAAAATATGGTTTTTTTCCTATTAAATATGGCATTTTCTGCTAGAAATCCCTGTTTTTCCCCTTAAATCCCTGTTTTTCCCCTTAAATCTGGGGTTTTCTCCCAGAAATCCCTATTTTTACCTTAAATCTGAAGTTTTTCCCCTTAAATTCGGCTTTTTCTGCTAGAAATCCCTGTTTTCCCCTTAAATCTGTTTTTTTTTTTTCGATTAAAACTGGGGTTTTCACCAAGAAATCCCTGTTTTTCCCCTTATGTCTGGGGTATTTCCCCTCAAATATGGCTTTTTCTGCTTGAAATCCCTGCTTTTCCCCTTAAATATGGGGTTTTTCCCCTTAAATATGGCTTTTTTCTGCTTGAAATCCTGTTTTTCCAATTTAATCTGGGGTATTTCCTCTCAAATATGGTTTTTTTCTGCTAGAAATCCCTGTTTATGCCTTTAAATCTGGGGTTTTCTCCCAGAAATCCCTGTTTTTCCCATTATTCTGGGTTTTTCTGCAAGAAATCCCTGTTTTTTCCCTTAAACCTGGGGATTTCCCCCAGAAATCCCTGTTTTTCCCCTTACATCTGGGGTTTTTCCCCTTACATATGGCTTTTTCTACTTGAAATCCTTGTTTTTCCCCTTACATCTGGGGTTTTCCTCCTTAAATATGTCTTTTTCTGCTAGAAATCCCGCTTTTACCCTTAAATCTGGGGTTTTTCCCCTGAAATATGGCTTTTTTCTGCTAGAAATCCGTTTTTCCCCTTAAATCTTGTTTTTTTTTTCCCTTTAAATCGGGTGTTTTCTCCCAGTAATCCCTGTTTTTATCCTTAAATATGGATTTTTCTGCTTGAAATCCCTGTTTGTCCCTGTAAATCTGGGGTTTTCTCCAAGAAATCCCTGTTTTTCCCATTAGATCTGGGTTTTTTTCCATTAAAACTGGGGTTTTCTCTTAGAAATTCCTGTTCTTCATCTTAAATCTTGGGTTTTTCCCCTTAAATATAGATTTTTCTGCTACAAATCCCTGTTTTTTCCCTTAAATCTGGGGTTTTTCCCCTTAAATATGGCTTTTTCTGCTAGAAATCCCTGTTTTCCCCTTAAATCTGAGGTTTTCTCCCAGAAATCCCTGTTTTTCCCCCGAAATCTGGGGTTTTTCCCCTTAAATATGGCTTTTTCTGCTAGAAATCCATGATTATCCCATTATATCGATGGTTTCCTTCTAGATAATTCCTGTTTTTGCCCTTAAATGTGGTGTTATTCCCCTTAGATCTGTTTTTTTTTTTTACCTGACATGTCTTTTTTTCCCATTAAATCTGAGATTTTTATCCCCTTCTAGCCCACCTATTTGCCCCCTACAGACATCTGTACAATCGCATTCTCTAATATCCTCCCTTAGCCTTCTATATCCCTCCCCACCGCTCTCCCCAGCCCCTGGAGTCCCTCCACAAACCCCCTCCAATGCTCCCTATACCACCGTGTCCCCCCAGAACCTCCTCACAGCCCTCTATTGCCCCAAATCCCCCAGACCCACCCCTGGAGCCCCGTATACCCCAATCCCCTGCCACAGCCCACTCCAGCCCCGTGTGCCTCCCTGCACCCCAACAGCCTTCTGCAGCCCCCTGTCCCCCCGCAGCCCTCCCCAGCTCCCCACAGCTTCCTCGCCCCCTCTATTTCCCCATCAGCCCCCTGTATCTCTCCCAGAGCTCCCGGGAGCCCCATACCGATCCCACATCCACCCCACATCCACAGCCCGTCCCATATATATCCCACTTCCCCACACCCCATCCTGTCTCCATCCACATCCCCACATCCCAGGCCTGCTCCCAGCCCCTCACCCCACACGAAAGTGGCGGATGGCTGCGCAGGCTTCCTTCCCTGTCCCGGTGCCACTCTCCGTCCCTCCCGGCTCCGGAGCCGCTGTCCTCAGCACCGCTCCCGTCGTGCCGCGGTTCCGTCTCGGTGCTGCCCGGACAGCTCCGAAGCGCAGCGGCTGTGGGACCAGCATTGTCTGAGGGGAGAGCCGGCTGCCAATGGCCGTTCCCGCGCGCTGCGCCTCAGCCAGTCGGAGCTGGTGGCGCAGCCGCTGACCAATCAGAGGCACGAACGGGCCGGAACTGCCCCTGACTAATGAGAGTCCCGGGGCGGGACGGAGCTGCCGCTGACCAATGAGAGGCACAAACGGGCCGGAACTGGCTCTGACCAATGAGAGTCCGGGGGCGGGGCTGAACTGTTGTGGGGGAGGGGCTCGGAGTATTCCCTATTGCTATGGGGGATGGGATGTGGGATCGGGATTTGGGAGGACGGATTGGGATTGACGGGTGTGAGATGGGCTTGGGGTGAGGGATTGGGAATGAGATTTGGAATTGGGACTGGGACGTTGGATGTGGGGTTGGGATGTGGGGTGTGGGGATATGGATACGGGATGGATGCGGGATGGGATATCGGGAAATGGGATCTATATGGGATGGGCTCTGGTATGGGATGGACTTGGAATGGATGTGGCATCGTAGAACCACAGAGTCACGGAACTGCTCAGGTTGGCAGATCAGCGCTGCCTCTGAACTCGGTGCCGTCTGTGAACGTGCCGAGGGTGCCCTCAGTGTCCCTCCTCAAGAAGAGCCATGGCATGGGAGGGATCTTTATGCCTATCTGCACAGCAGGCCCTGCTGCCCCTGCTTCACCCCTCCTTCACCCCTCCACAGGAACTGCCCCTGCTGGAGTCTCTTCTGGCCGTAGTGAGCCAGGGTGATTCCCCTCCATCTGCCCTGCCTGCTGCCCATCCCCACGGCAATTCATGGCACTGGGCAGTGCAGGAGAGCTCTGTGAAATGCCCTCTGCATCCCGCTGCACAAAGGACTGCAAGGAGAGAGGAGGGCTGGGGTTGCTGGTGGCAGCTGAGGGACACCATGGGCCATCCGTGGTGCCCCATCCTCCCCCAGCGGCGGGCGTGGGAAGCTGGGGGGCTGTGACACGGCACAAATGACTGCAGGCAGAGGGACGTAGCAAAGGGAACACAAAGCTTTTAATAACGTATCATAAGAAACAGTGAGTAACAGAAACAACACTATTCCTAAAATTCCCATCCCGCAATAAGCAGAGCAGCCAGACAACGTCCCATCCCACTGCTGTGCTGACTCTGGAGGACGGCTCGGTTGTGGAGGGGAGAGATGGGGCCGCTGGCAGTGCCCCTGGAACGCTGCCGCTGCTGCCTGGTACTGCGGGCCGGTGAGGAGCGCAGGATTACGGGTAGCCATACTGGTCGGCGATGGCCATGTCTATCTCTCGCTGCACCAGGAACTGCACCGGGCTGATCTTCATCTGCAGGGCCGCCCGCTGCAGTTCTTCCTGGGCCAGCTTCTTCATGCGCTCCCACTTGGGCCGCTGCTTGGCTGTGATGGGCAGCGACTCCTCCATCACCAGCGGTATTACAACGCCACCTGCCTGTGGCCCCACGCAAGGCACAAAGTCCACGGGGCGCCACGGCCGAGGCTGCTGCTGGTGCAGCGCTGGTGGTGGTGGTGGTGGCGGTGGGTCCCTCTGCAGCGCTGAGCTCCTCTGCAGGGACGGGCGCGGGCAGCTCGGCGGCGCCTTCTTGGCAGCGCCCTCCTCCTGCACTGTGATGCCTGGAGATGCCGGCGCTGCCTTGTCTGCATGGCTGTCTTGGGGCTGGAGGGCAGCAGGGCCAGCGCTGGCTGAGGGTTGGGGCTGCACAGAGGGTGGCTGGCGCACTGGGCCCACCGCAGTCACCCTCTGCCCCAGCGGGTGCACGGCCTGGATGCATTGCTGCAGGTGCTTGTGCAGCTCGCTGGCAGTGCCCGCTTGGCTGCTGCTGGCTCCTGCGCCGGCCCCAGACAGTTTTGCTTAGCACGGCTGTTTGCAGCCTTTCCTCTCTGTTCTTTCCCCGCAGGGTGGCAGCTTCCTTTTCTTGGCAGGAGCGCTGCTGGTGGGCTGCTCCTGCTGGGAGCTCTCCCCTTTTTGCAGGGTGCCGGCAGGCGCAAGGCGCTTGGCCCCCCGCTTGGTGCTGCCCCTGTTCTTCTTTTCTGCCCCCTGGCTGGGGACAGAGGCTGGCGACAGGGGCGAGTGAGCCTGAACCTCCTGGGGCTGCCTTTGCTGCACCTCCTCAGTGGGCTGTGCGGTTTGCACTGAGGGAGGTGCGCTGACAGCCAGGGTGGTTGGCCGTGGGCTGAGCCGGGCGCTTGCTGGTGGCATGACGGGGTGCTGCTCCGACAGCCCGCACTGCAGCTCAGGCAGGAACCCAGGGGATGGAGGAAGCCCCCAGAAAGGGTCGGTGGGTGTCCCGGTGGCAGCCTGTGTGCTGAGCTCTCTGCTGTCCTGGAGGTTGTCAGGGAGCTCAGCGACGAAACATCCTGGGGCAGGGCTGCTGGGGTTCTCATGGGGGACCTCAGCAGCTCTTGCCACGTCTGAAAATGCAAAAACATCCCCCAAATGGTGATGAGAGCCTTCCCACACCTACTCTGTGCAAACACACACCTGCAGCTCTGCAGCCCCAAACTCACCATTGATCCAAGAGAGCAAACCCTGGATGTCTGTGATGTCCTTTAGGACATCTTTAGCATCTTTAGGCCCAGGGCGTGTGCCAGCCTCTCTAACTGGGGCTGTGGCTGTGAGCCCCTGGGCTGGATGCAGCCTTTTGGGCTCTGGCCCAAAGTCACCAGGCCTGGCACCAAATTTTAAGAAGACAACACGACGGCCACCCAATGGGGTTATCTGAAGTAACAAAACAGAGAAATTAAGATGACCAGACCCAGGAGATGTTGCACCCAGGCTGCCCCCAGATTGGAGGCCAGAAGGATTTGGGCTTCCAAGCAGTCAGCCAGCATTCGGATGAGTCAGCCCTCTGGTTTTCATGAGGACAGACAATTCCACTGTGGGAAGCCATCTGGGCAAAGGCACAACAGCTTTGTTCTTGGGCCGCAGCACTCCGTGGCCAGGCGCTGCTCAAACGCTGGGCCTGCATTTCCTCCTGGGCATCCACGCGTGCTCTGAGTCTGCTGCAGCTTTCTGCAGGGTCTGTGGCTTCCTGCTGAGGAGTTCCTCGTGTTCTTCAGCAACTGCTCCCCAGCATCACTGCTGCCTCCTCTGGTGCCGTACCAGGAGAAGTGTAAGCGTCCATCAGCCTGCACTTCCTTCCTCCCAGCAGCAGCTGCTCCTGCACTGACCTTCATTCACACTGGATGCCGTCCACTTCTAGCGCCAGCTGACCTGCAAGACAGAGAAAGGAAATGTGGCATTGGCACAAATGCAGACGCCAGAGGCTGTGCCACCACCACGTACTGCAACCTTGGTCAGAATTAAAGCAGGCACCGTAAATTAAGTGTGACTTCTGAACTGAAATAATTGCCACAATCAGAAATAAATACTGAAATCGCTTACTGAACTGTAGGTGGTTACCTCTGAATTCTTTTGCTTTTGCAAAGCAAGCTCCCTGCAGTTGTCAGGTGCACATATGCGTGCTTGTGCCCCTGGCCCATAGTGTGAAGCTCTGCAGAAACTGGGGCAGACAGCATCTTCTGAGGGCTGAGCTAGAGGGAAAGAGGAAAAATGTCGCACACAACACAGAGAATAGTCACACCAAAGTTTTACGAGGCTCTTTTGCTAAACACAGAGCGACATGGGCTGTGAAACGATGCTGAGGGAGAAAACATGTCGTTTACCTGGTCTGAACAAGGTGGATTCCTTCAAGTTCCTTGTATCCACAACCATTCCTCATCACTTCTGTTCGTCCAGGAGCAAAAACTGCACCAAGGGAGCAGGCAGAGGGTGGGGAGAAGAGAGAGGAAGAGCAGGTCAGTGAGCAGGGCTAAGTCATCCCTCTTGCAGAGACAAATAACACCAGAGGGGAAGCTGGTTACAATACGGCACACGCAGAAGTCTTACACAAAAACGCAATAGCATTATAATGCTCTGTGTGTGCAGAAGAGCGTTCAGCAGCAGTGAAGCAAAAGCTCTCTGCTGTTGTTTCCACAGTGGCTTTAGAAGCTCCTGCTCTCCCTCCAAGAACAACCTTTGCATCAAGCGCTGGCACAGAATCACAGAATGGCCAGGGTTGGAAGGGACCTCAAGGATCACGAAGCTCCAAACCCCTGCCACATTCAGGGCCTCCAACCTCCATTTCATAGTAGATCAGGCTGCCCAGGGCCTCATTCAGTCTGGCCTTGAACACCTCCAGGGACGGGGCATCCACAGCCTCTCTGGGCAGCTGTTCCAGCACCCCTCCGCTCTCTCTGTTACCTGCCTAATTGGCCTAGCACGGCTGCCACCACTTTCAAGAAGTGGTAATTAATGCTGGCAGTTTAAGTCCTTAGCCATGGGCTGGATAAAGGTGATTTTGGGTGGTGACGACTGGAAATGACTGGGATGGGATATCCTTAGTGGAAGGGGAAACCAGTGCTGGGGGGAGAACTCACTGCAGGGATGGCAAATCCCCACGGGGACGGGCAGAGCCTTGGGAAGGAAGAGCAGTGGGCTGCAAAATGCCCAGCGGGATGGTCACTGATCATTGGGATGGGAAACGATGGGGATGGGAAGGATGTCTGGGTACGAAAACTGAAAGCATGGCAAGCGGGGGGGAAAGGGGCTGAATCCAATGGTCACAGAACCCCCGTGGGGGGAGGGGCTCCCCCAGCTGCCACTCTCCAGCTGTCATGGCAGGTAAGGCAGCAGCTCCCCCATGCTCTGATGCTCCACCTGACCCCAGCACTTCAGATCTCACCCCTGTGACCCATATCTCACCTCTGTGACCCCAGATCTCACCCCAGAGCTGCAGATCCCACCCCTATGACCTGGATCTCACCCCAGCACCCCAGGTCTCAGCCCAGCGCTCCTTCTGGCATTTCCCCACAGAGAGATTCCCTTGAGGAGCGCTGACGGTGCTTCTGACACCCGATGCCATTTTCATTCTTGTGACTGTGCCGCCACCAGACCCCGCCTGGATGCAGCCCACCGTCCATGGACTGATGCCGGTACCCCCCCAACCCTTCCCTGTCCCCACTGCCACCCACCTGGCACCTCAGGCCTCTGTCTGGCCCAGGGTCCCAGGTGCCTGGGGACAGGCAGTGCAGCTCCCACCTGGGGGGCTGCCCCCAACCCTGGCTCAGCTGCCACCTGTGGGCCTGACCCCAACCGCGGGGCTGCACCTACCGGTGCTGCTGCTCCTACCTGGGAGGCTGGACCCAGGGACGGCTCACCTCCCCACCCCTGCTCCCTGCCCGGGACGTCCCCTGCCCACAGGGACGCTGCCGCCCCAGCGGCCGATGGGGCTGTGGCCCGGGGCCATGCCCCTCCACGCGGAGCCCCCGCAGCCCGCAGGCACCTGCCTGCCGCAGGCCCCCGGCCGCCCTGGCCCCCCCCCAGTTCTTTTGCAGGTACCCTCCCTGCAGGAGCAGGTGCTCCCCAGGCCCTGCACCCTGCCTGCCACCTGGCAGCCGCTGATGGAGCCCTTCCAAAATGCCATGCTGCTCTCGGAAGACCAGGGGCACCCAGTGCCCACCGACGTGTGCCCCCAGCCCGCCATGGCTCCGCTCACCTGCAGCGCAGCCATGCTGCAATCAGGCGGTGAGTTCAGGGGCTGCAGGGCAGGAGGCAGGCTGTCTACTGCACGGGGCTGCAGGAAAGCTGGCATTGCCCCGCTGGGCATTTTCTTCTTTTTTCCAGATGCAACGACTGGCGCAGATACTGCGGATGGCTTCGCAGACGTCGATGATCTGCTCAGCTGGATCAACGAGGGTGAGTGTGGGCGACGAAGAACTGGCAAGCGGGTGTCTGCACTGAGTGGGTGAGCAACAGCTGGCATTGCCCTGCTGGGCATTTTCTTCCTTTCCCAGGAGCGACAGCGAGCACTGACATTCTGGACGACAACGTGGAAATGGGCCATGTGCTCACATGGATCAGCGAGGGTGAGTGTGGGGGCTGTGGAGCTGGTGGGTGGGTGTCTGCAGAGAGAGGCTGTGGGAAGGCTGCCATCGTCATTCTTGGGATGTTCTTGCTTTTTCCGAAGAGCTGAGCACTCTGGAGGTCCCGCAGGAGAACCAGGACCTGCCTGTTGTCCCAAGGGAGGAGAGCAGAGATGCTGCCACGGTGCAAGAGGAAAATCTTGGGAAGCAGCTGCTGCGGGAACTGGACAGCCGTGACCATGAAGAGCTGAGGAGGTGGATCGCAGCCACGGAGCCACCGAGCCTGGATGTCCCCAGCAGTCTGGACTCATCTCCTTTCATCGCAGAGCTCCCTGACTTCCCCAGGAGCAGCAGGGAGCTCAGCAAAGAGACACAGGCTGCCACCGGGACCCTCAGCGACCCATTCTGGGGGCAGCCAGCATCCCCTGGTCAGCTCTCTGAGCTGCTGCCCCGCAGCCCTTTGCTGCTGGCCCCCGTCACACCTCCACACCTGTCCCTGCTGAGCTCCCTGGCTGCCCCCACGCCTCCTTCGCCCCGCACGGCACATCTCATGGAAGAGGCACGGCGCAGGCAGCCCCGTGTGGTCCTCAGCCGCCTGGCACTTCCACCCTGCTGTGTCTCCTGCCACGTGGCAGACCAGCAGCACGGGGACAGCACCAAGCCGGCCAAGCATTGCGTGCCTCCTTTGGTGCACACTGGACAACTCATGGAAGAGGCACGGCAGAAGCAGCCCCGCGTGGTTCTCAGCTGCTTGGCACTTCCACCCAGCTGCGTCTCCTGCCGCGTGGCAAGCACGCAGCATGGGGACGACACCGAGCCGGCCAAGCGCCCAACGCCCGCCTGCGCCGGCACAAAAGGCAAGAGTAGCGGGCGCAAGCAGCACCCTGGCAGCATCCCAGCCAGGAAGAGGAAGCTGCTGCTGTGCCAGGGTGTTCCAGCCCACCAACAGCCACGCTAGGTGAAGCTGGCTGTGTCAGCGCAGTGGCCAGCACGAGGACTGGGTGCCCATCACACCCAAGTGGGAGCGGACCAAGAAAGCGGCCCACTTGGTGCAGCAGGAGACGTGGCCGCAGCCGATGAACATGGCTCCCTGCAGCCCTGGGCTCCTCACTGGCCCCCACGGCACCCAGAGAGCAGTGGCAGTGTTCCAGGGGCACCGGCACTGGCCCCAGCCCTACCCCTCCAAAATGGGGCTGTCCACAAATGGCGTCTTGGACTGGGGCAGCGTGGGACTGTGAAGCAGGAGGACCGCACCAGTGTTGGACTGTCCAGACTTTGGGCTGGGAAATGTTGTTCGGGGGGTGGGAATTTGGGGGGCTGGGAAGTTTTTTCGGGGGGGAGGAAAGGGATGTTGGGGGGTGGGGGGGGGGTGAGAAATTGCTGAGTGGGTGGGAATTGTAGGGGGTGGGATCAGAAACAATTGTTAGGGTGGAAGATGGTGAGGAATATTGTCCTTCATTTACTGCTTTGTATGTTAAACGATTAAATGTTTTGTGCTCGCTTTGCTACACCTCTGCCTGCAGTTGTTCATGCAGCAGGTTTCCCCGTAGTGCCATCACCACCACACCTCTCCCCCCTGCTTGCAGTTCCCAGGCTGCAGAGAACATCCCGATGGTGCCCACCCAGAGGTGCCTGTCCCATGCAGTGTGTCCAGCAGCTGGGAGATGTTGGGGTGGTTGCAGTGAGCCAAGAGCTGCTGCTCCTCCAGCTTCTCCTCCTCGCTGACTGTCTCCATCACCACTGCTGCTGCCAATGTCCCCGGGACCTTGTTTTGTGCCTGGGGAAGGAGATGGGAATGTTCTGAGCATCAGGTGAACCACAGAACCATAGAATGGCTTGCATAGGAAGGGACCTCAAAGATCATCCAGCTCCAACACCCCCGCCGCAGGGGCAGGGCTGCCAACCTCCCCATTTCATAGCAGACCAGGCTGCCCAGGGCCCCATCCCACCTGCTCTTGGACACCTCCAGGGATGGAGGGGCATCCACTGCCTCTTCGGGCAGCTGCACCTCACCATTCTCAGAGTTTAGAGCTTCTCCCTGGCATCCAACCTCAGTCTTCCCTCCCTCAACTTCAAGCCATTTCCCCCTGTCCTGCTTTCCAAGACTTGACTCCCCTCCTGTTTGCAGGCTCCCTTTAGGTCCTGAAAGGCTGCACTGAGCTCACCCCGCAGCCTTCTTTTCTGCAGGCTGAACAAGCCCAGCTCCCTCAGCCTGTCTTCGTAGGGGAGCTGCTCCAGGCCTCTCATCATCTTTGTGGCTCTCCTCCAGACCCTCTCCAACAGCTCTTTCTTGTCCTGGGGGCTCCGGACCCAGAGGCAGTGCTGCAGATGGGGCCTCACAAGAGCAAAGCAGAGGGGGACAATCACCTCCCTGTCCCTGCTGGCCACCCCTCTGCTGATGGAGCCCAGCAACTAGCAGAAAGGCAAAGGAAAAAAAAAAAAAAAAAAAAAAATCAAAACCAAACCACTCTGCTTGTCACAACTGTCAAATGCTCAATGAGCAGTGCACAGAAATAAGAGAGATGACTGCTTGGCCTCTGACCTTAAACCCAAAACCTTAACACAAAAGAGTTACCCTCAGCACTAAGGTATCGACACTGCACGCTTTGGGATGGTGACAACCCTTAGGAACACAGAGCCACCAACATCAGAAACGACCTCTGAGGTCATCTAGTCCAACCACCCACCTCACACCTCCATCTCCCACTAAACCCTGTCCCTCAGCACAACAGTGAAACACTCCTCAGGCACCTGCTAGGATGATTTCCCCACTCCCACCCCCACCCAAAAGGGGAACTCTTGACCTTTAAATCTAACCCAAAAGGGTACCTTGTAACCATAGCCCAGAAAAGGAACTGCAGACAAAGTCAGGAGCACATGCAGCTGCTCTCAACCAGTCCTAAACCATCTTCTGGCACAGTGCTCCTTACCAACCCTTCTGCTCAGTGGTCCCACTTGTGCCTTGTTTGCACTCAGTGCTGGGCCTGTAGGAGACTGTGCTGGTAGCATCACCTGGGCCAGCACAAAAACTGAATGATTGCTTGGAATGCAGAGTATTTACCAACTACTGGAGTTTCTCCTAGCAACAGAGAGAAAGTAGCAAGTATCATCCTAGAAAGCCAAGAAGCCATAAAGACACAACAGGAAAGTGAGGCAGTTACAATGTCCAACAGGATTACTTTATAAGCTCTTCTTCACTTCCTTCCTAATCACCACACTCCTGAGAAAAACTAGCAGAAAACAGCATAATACACACACAAAAAATAAATCACCTTGGATTGATGAACATTAGGTTTATTCTTTACACAAGGAAGACTAAGCATTATCAAGTTACAATGTGTCACTTAATTGCCAGCTAAACTCCACAGAACAGTTCTAAGACTCGAGATGTTGTCACTGCTAACACTCAAATGTCTGCTGCAACCAGCTAACAATCACACCTCTGCTGTTAACGAAAGCTGAGCAACAAACAGAAAACATAGCAGAAAAGGCACTTGATTTGCAAGTGTTCACAGTGCTAGTCACTAGATTATACCTAGCATTTCAACAACTCAATCACGTTCTCCTTTGATGAAAAAAGCCTTCCCATGGAAGTAGAAGGTTGCCCATGCGAAAACACAGGCTACATCACCTTGAGACATTACGTTGTCTACTGCCATCCCACCAACACCCATTTCTGACATCATGGGCCACCGTCAGAAAGTAGAAGGCACTACTTTCAGAGCAGCCCTCGTAACAGCTATCCTTGCATGCACTGCGTGTGGTCAGGTTGGGAAGCGGAAGGGCAGTGCCAGTTGCAGACACGCTGCTGACAGCTCAGCAGGGGCCTGCTGGCCCTGTGCCACCATGGCACCCAGCACAGAGGACAGGCAGGCAGAGGGACCAGGCGCTTCCTGCAGCTCCAGCTGCACCCTGCACACCCCGTGCTCCCGTCATCCTGTGGACCAGGCTTGCTTCACACAGTGCCTGCTTCGCCTTCAGCACCTTTGCCAAAACCTACAGGGCAGGGATGGGGGAAATGAAGGCTCCCTGAAGGCACCCCCACTCTTGGGCATAGGAAGAGTAGCCATCAGACTGAAGGAACAGGGCGGGACAGTGCAAAACCATTCCAAACATTTATTTTTTAAACTACTCTACTCTACCTACGTGGTACTGCTTGCACCCGCAGTGCCTCCTGGAGCGTAAGCAGCAGGGACATCCAACTCCATCACCTCCAGCTCTGCCATCTGCTCCCAGCCCTGGTGAGAAAGGACCGCTTGGTGCTGGAGATGTGGTGCGATTCGCAGAAGCAGCAGGAGCAGCACCCTGGGTGGTGAAGGGAGCTCACTGCCCACCAGTGCCGCAGCGCCTGACTGCACCTCCAGCAGACTTCTGCTCTGCTGGCCCTCCGTCAAACCCAGGGCCAGAGAGGATGCAGCTGGTCTTCTCCTTCTAACACCAACACTCCACTACAATCTTCTTTGGCAGAGGAGATAACCCCTCTTGAAATAGGGGTTACAGTAGCAGAGTAACTACAAAACACAAAGGAGAAGAGGTTGTTACCACAATTTCAAGACTGGAAAAACAAAAATATGATGACTAATAATTAGAATCTCAAGGGACCAAGAGAGAGGACTCTCAGGAACAATTTCAAAAGGAATACATGGGAATAAAATGTTTTGGTATGGTTCTGTTAAATACATAGATCACTGCAAAAGTAATGCCTCTCCATCTGTCCGAATCCAAGCAGCCTCCCCCTGCTACCCACCGGAACCGGTTTGATTTTTTTTATATATATATTTATATTTATATTTTTATATATAAAGCGCCTATCACCTGATTGATAAACATTCTTTGGAACTTTGGGAGTTTTCTCCATAGCACTGCCTTCAGGCATTTCCTTGTGAACCTGCAAGTGCTGGCAGTGTCCTCGCTTAATGACTGATTTTCTGGTCCCTTCCACAGCATCACGCCATCCCTTTGCTCAGCAGCCCTCCCCATTTTTAGTTTAAAGCCTCCCTCACAAAGCTGCCATCCTACTGATGAAAACACCCTCCCATCCCTTTAGGGAGGTGGGTCCCATCTCTTCCAAACAGACACCAATCCACAAACAGGTTCCCCAGCCACAGTATCTAAGGCCCTGCTACCAGCACCAGTCCCACACTCAATGACTTGCTTGCATCACCAGTGCCCTCCTCTTCACGCCTGTCCCACAGCAGCACCCGGACCCCTGTGCCCCTGACTACCAGCCCAAGAGCTCTGCAGTCACTTGGATGCCGTTCACATGTTTCCCAGCAGCATCATCTGTGCCCACCTCTCCTGGTGGCCTCACACAGTGATCCACACAAGGCATAAGGCTGGGTGCACCTCCGCCTCCTCTCCAGCACTGAGGGCACTGGAACTGCATTGGAGCTGTGAGCCCTTCTGTGGGGCAGGAGCATCCTCTGCTGCCAGGAGTCTCCAGCTTCAGTCTGACACCAGATGTGAGGCTGTGCCATGGGGCTGCAGTGTGGGGCCTGCAGCTCAGAAAAGCCCCTGAGCACGGCGGAGGTGGTCTGTGATGCCATCAGAGCATTATACACCAACAATTACAAACACCTGCAAAAGCAAACAAGAACCACGTTCTGCAGTGATAAGAACCCACAGCTTAGCAGACAGGAGCATAAGGCTTAGGAAAAAGTTGCATTTCAGAGGTTGGTAGGGAATTTCACATCACACAGAGGCACCAAAACCAGAGCTTCTAACCACAGTGTTACCCAGGAGTCCCACCAGGCAGTGCTGGCATGATCTGGCGTGTGATTCCAGAACAAGGCAGCCCAGTATAAGGCATCAGGCAGTGCTGAGGAGATCTGCATTAAGGACAGGTCATGCCTTCATAGGTACCGTTCCAGTGACAGCACACTGTCCAGAGGAAGGGCTTGACGTACAACCCTCAATGATTTACACTCCCACCAGTCACGTCAGACAGACCAAGACTACGATGCTGACCTGTAACCAGGCACAGTGCAGCTAGAGCTCCTTGTGCAGGCACCAGAGGCAGCTTCCCCACCTCCAGATCTATAGGCAATATGCTCGAGTACTGTGTCCAGTTTTGGGCCCCTCACTGCAAGAAAGACATCGAGGCCCTGGAACGTGTTCAAAGGAGGGCATCAAAGCTGGTGAGGGGTCTGGAACACAGGGCTGATGAGGAGGCTGAAGGAGCTAGGAATGTTCAGCCTGGAGAAGAGGAGCTCAGGGGAGACCTCACTGCTCTCTATAACTGCCTGAAGGGAGGCTGTAGTGAGCTGGGGGTCGGCCTCTGCTCTTGTGTCATCAGCGACAGGAGCAGAAGGAATGGTTTCAAGCTATTGCAGGGGAGATTCAGGCTGGACATGAGGAAGTATTACTTTTCGGAAAGGGTGGTCAGGCACTGGAATGGATGCCCAGGGAGGTGGTGGAGCCACCGACCCTGGGGGTGTTCAAGGAAAGACTGGATGTTGTGTTGAGGGACATGGTTTAGTGGGAGCTGTTGGTAATAGGTGAACGGTTGGACTGGATGATCTTTTAGGTCTTTTCCAACCTTGGTGATTCTATGATTCTATGGTTTACGTTAATTATCCTAAGTCACTATTCAAAGCAATGAATAAGCTGTTTAGAGAGAATAAATAAAAAGAGAGAAATCCCCACGATCTTCTACTTCTCACGAGCCAGGAAATGCAGCAGGCATCCCTTCATCCTCACCACCACAAAGTGTCAGCAGTCCCAGCAGTGCCTGTCTCCAGTCCTGCCCCTTTCGAGTCTCTCTCCTGCCTCTGATGTAGCCCTGACCAGGCCCTGTTCTGCCCCCATTCTGTTTAGCCCATTCCTGTTCTCGTCTCGTCCCTGATCCTCCACCTCACCTTGCCTGTGTTCCTGTCCCTATCCCGACCCTACCACTACCTCCACACCTACCCCCACCCTTTTCTTTATCCTCCTATCACTGCCTGTCCCTCTCTTTTCCCTCTCCTGCCCATCTCTCCTGCCCCTGTCCCTATCACTCATCCTGCCCCTACCCCTACACTTTTCCCTATTGCCCACCCCTCTCCCTCTCCTGTTTCCTTCCCTTCCCTATCCTTGTGCTGTCCTTGCTCCAGGCCACTGACAGAATCCCCTGGCAGCCCACCACAAAGTTGAAGGGAAATTGTAAGCCAGGGGAACAGAAGTGTGATGAATGAGAGGGGAGGACAGAGAGGGCAGAAGAGAAGAAAGGACACAGGTAAGAGGAGCAGAGCTAATGGGGCAGGGGAGAATGAACAAGAGGGAAGAGCAGAAAGGCAGTGAAAATAGGATTCCTTGAAAATAAGTGTTTACAGCTGTACTGCAAGACAGGATGCCTCACAATAAGATGGATGGTTTTCCAATTCCTGAATTACAGAGGATACACAAACTGAGAGGGGTTAAAAAACATAGCAAGAAAGTGCCACATTCTAAAGCAAACGGCCCAGGAACAATTCCAGCTACTGCACTCCCTTGAGAGCCTCAAGGGGACTCTCATCTGCTCACAGGGCCCAACACGAGAGGATCAGCTGCTCTGGGGGAGAAGGATTGGGAACCATGTTCCAGTTTGTATCCTTGGAAGGAGGTTAGGGAAGCAGCTCCACGTAAAGACAAGAATGAAATGATGGCCAAGCTCCAATGCAACGAGTGCAGGACCAACAACCCCTCGTGGAGCTCCAAATATTTTGGAAAAACGGGTCCTCGCAAACTGTAAGAGCCTTAAATGACCCTGGAACAGAGGCTTCCTTAACATACGGGAACCCCAAGAAACGTGAAGGACACCTGGTAATTATTACAGGGTTGGGAGGGAAACAAACTGAAGCTGTACAAAGACAAATAGAAATGAGAATAGGAAACCTCCCACAATGACTGCATCCTGTGATGACTGTCCCCGCCCCACAATACATCGCAGGGATGGGCATTCTAAAATGACTAACACTGAATCTCCCCAGTGCTCAGCCCCAGTTTGGAATAAGGAATTGCATTCGTGCTCTGACAATCTCAGTGGGAAAAGTAACAATGCCTGCTGTGCAGATTCCTGCTGCAACTGAAGTAGTAAGAGTGAAACAGTACAGGACCTGGGGGCGGGGGAGGGGGGAGCATGAAGAGATATCAAGGACAATTAATGATTTATTGGGTGCAGGAGTTTTAAGTCAGCTACTACAGCTCGGAACAATCCAATATGGCCTGTCAAAAAGCAGTGGGTTGTGGGAGGAATTAAACAAGCTCACCCCGCCTCTCACAGTGGCTGCAGCAGGTAGTGTTGCTTTAACAGAAAAAGCTCGGAACCATTCCAGAGCAGAGCATGCTGCAATTGATTTAGCTAATGCTAGCTTCTTCACGATCCTGATTGCAGAGGAATGCCTTCCCGTGGCAGAGGTGACAAGATCCTGTCTGTAGATTGCCTCAGGGACGGCTGCACAGCCCAACCATCTGCCACAGAACTGTGGCTGAACATCTGCATGACACCAAACTGCCTCCTCACATGCAAACAGTTCATTACGTAGATGACATCCTGACTCAGGGAAACCGAGGAAGGGGTGCAATAAATGCTGGAATTGGTTGTGGATCAGATGAAACAGAAAGGCTGGGAAATTCATCCTAATGAAATTCAAACAGTGACATTTTTAGGAATTCAGAGGCATTTTGGGCATTGGGGAATACTACCCAAAACTCCACACAACATTTCAGACTTTGCAGTACCCTGTAATAAGAATGAGGCACAGCAGTGTATTGGGCTGTTTGGTTTTTGGAGACAGCACGTTCCATACCTAGGACAAATTTTAACCCTGTTTATATACAAAGTGACAAGGAAGAGTTGGAGAGGGAAAGGAACAGCAGGTTGCCTTTGAATTAGCAACAAAGGCTCTTCAAAGGGCCTCAGACTTAGGGCCCATGCAAAAAGCAGAAACAGAGTTAAACGTGTCTGCAAATGGGGCACGTGCTAATTGGAGCTTCTGGCAAAAACATGGAAAGAAAAAGGTTCCCTTGGGTTTTGGAGGAAGAAAACTCATGTCACGAGAGGAGTAATGGATGCAGATTATCAAGGATGAATCAAATTCCGTTCAACAGCAGTGAACAAGATTTAAATAAATCCAAGATTTAATTCAAACCCATGACAGAACAATTACTGATATTGCCAGTTTTAAAAACAATTGTGAGAAAAGGAGATCCACCTCAGATCACCACCGCTCTGGAGAACTATGTACGTAGTATATAATTTTATTTTGCAGATCCTGCACCACTGGATTTACCCGCCTACCAGCACGGTCCATTTGGAAAAAGACACCATCCGTGTGCCTGGATGTGAAGAACGGCCTCACCTGAAATTATCCCCAGTGCCTGCTGTCAGAGCCTGTGACCTGAGAGCAGTGATGGCATTGCTAATGGCACGTTGCCACTGTGACCAAGGCACAGGTTGGATGAACAGATGGATAACTTTAGGACAAGGTTGAACAACTTTGCTCTTTCTTGCTAACTGCCATGTGTGTGGAGACCCAGGAGGATGGGAACACTGGACGTGGATGGCCTGTGTAACCCAAATGGTGGGATAGCAAAACGAGTGCAGCCCATGAGGGAACAGAGCTCTGGGCCAGGACTGCAATCCCTGCCAGATGCAGCCATACAGAGAAATGATCAGAGAAACGGGGAAAAATACACAGAAATTGAAACACGTCCAGATTACTTCATGTGTCCCACACCTGTGGTGACTCAAAGACCACACCTGCCACATCTTCCACAGTGAGGCTGTGTCCATACCAGAATTAAGTTTTGATACGAGATTTCTGACTTACGAATATTAAAGCCATCTTCATCGTTTGAAGGAAAGGGCTGAGCTGCTGGAGGCTCTGCTCAGCTACATTTCTGCCTGTCTCGAGTGCAGTTCAAGCGTAGATTTCATACACAGCAAGGTGTGAAGAAAAGCTCTCCCTCCAGTCCTAGAGTTAAAGAAAGTTCAAGCAGTAAATATCAAGCTACAACAAAGTCCAAGCTTCTGAGTTCAAGGACATCCTCTGAAGCCTGATTTAAGGCAATAAAATTCACCTTCTTGCCTCAGGTTAATATCTCCAAGCTATTTTCAAAGATCTTTTCCTCCTGATACGTTTGCATACAACCAGTAGAACAAACAGAGCTAATAAAGAGACCCAAACACACACAGTGAAGGCATGAAAGTCCAGCAGTTCCAGCAGTGGGGGAAACACACACCTGAGATCAGAGACTGCAGGGAATGCTCCTTTGTGGGTGGGATTTAAGTCACATCAGGCACAAAGCTCTGGTTTTGAGAAGGGCTGCTTTAACAGCACGCCGTCTGCACACTTGAATCAGGTTTGTGAAGAGCCTCCCAAATCCTCACAGTCTTACTGCTCTGGGAAGCACGAGGTTCTCTTCTCAAAAACATTTCTTATCAGTGCATCCAGCGAGCACACATATACGATGTTGTGACAGAGAACACGGGCAGAGACCAGCAGGTTGGAAGGTTGTCACCTTCGGGCCGGATCAATACTACAGATATCCTGCAAGCCCTTCTGTAGCAGAAACACGATTGCTAAAGCTGAGTAACGTCCAGTGGGTGAGTATGAGTAATGTGAGGCTCAGCACAGTGCTGAGGGATCCGATACTGACATGTCACTGCAATTCAGTGCACAGGTTGGAAAGGCAGTAAGGTGGGCCCAAAGATGGAGCTGCTTTGTCATGCTAAAAGGCTGCAGTGTTTGAGACCTCCAAAACAATCTGCATCACCAGACTAATAAGCACTTTATGAACGCACACCAAAGACCCCAAAGTTCCTCTCAGAAGAGACGAGTACAACTTACCTTACATTATTTCCACATACAGGATTCTACTTCTGACTTTATAATTCCATACTATAAGACAAAAGAAGACTTCTTTCTTGCAATACCGATTCTTAACAGCAGTTTTACAATTGAGTATGAGAACTAATCCACTTACCTCTACAGGATGGAGTTGCTCAAGAATACCAGAGCTTGCAGATTCAGAGTGCCACACCTGAGGAGTTTTCAGGAAATACTGCAATGAAACACAACATTAAATAAAAAATAACCCAACACAGCCACATAATCTAAACTGACCTTAAAAACTATCAGTGTCTAACTACTGTTATTTTAGAGTTGTGGATCTCTTTAGCAGCCACCAATTTACTCAGCCAGCCGTTATAAACCTTAGTTTTTCATAATTGCACACAGGCTGATCCAAAAGTAATGCCTCCTGTTTTATAAAGCTGGCCCACAACATCACAGGTGGACGCTGGTGGGATGACAGCAGAGGTTGAACCTTCCTGCCAGCATTCAGTTACATTTTGCAGCCATGCGGCAGACGGCAACAGAGGGCCAGAATAACAGCACAGCACCTGACATGGAAGTGCTCATGGAGCACAGGGTGTCCCTGAACTCCTCCACACTGAAAAAATCGCACCACTGACATCCATCAATGCCTGCAGAACATTTATGAAGCCCGACACGTGGAGGTGAGCACAGTGAAGCAGTGGTGGTGCATTTCAGACAAGCCACCCAAACAGCCAGAGTTGATTTTTTTTTGCTTTTTAAACAAGCACAGCATGCAGGCTTTCGTTCAGTGCTGGAAAAAAAGCATCGCTAATGGTGGTGACCATGTTGAGAAACAGCTTTGTAGCTGAGAACTCGCCCTATGTATCCGTTGTCATTTCCGTGGAAATAAATAGGAGGCATTCCTTTCAGAGCAATCTACGTACCTCAATGAGCCACCATCCTAATCATGCAGTAATACTAATAATAGGAACAGAAAAAAACAGACTCTCAGAATATCTGTTGTGGGGATGGAACAATAAAACCAATGCTGCAGTCAGCTGCAGTTATTCCCTGGGAAGGAACTGATGCCAGCAGAAAGGTCACGACCACTTCCGACAGTCAAACCATAGCAGCATGTCAGAGCACACAGCCTTGGAATAAACCCCAAGGATAAACCAAACTGCATCTCTGTTCCAGCAATTTCTTTCTTCAGTATACACAAATAGACTGGGAGGCACTAACCCTACAAATTCATTGTACCACTGTGTCATATGGTAAGAAGAAAAGCAGCATGTTTGACACTTTGTCAGGCACAGAACCTGCAGCACTGGAGGCGAGCAGTTCTGAATTCTGGCATCTGGTCGTAATTTGCGTGCATGCACAAGAAGCAGTGCAACTCACTTCACCAAATGTAAGTCAATGCAACCTAATGTATTGAAGGTGTACTTACAAGGCTGAGGTAGTAAGCTGCTCGCTGAGGGGAAGGTTGGAAATGAGGCAGGGGAGGCCTGACAGATTGAGTGATTGTCTGGAAAAAGAAAGGAACAGAAGAACTGTTCAGATGACATGACAGCCATTTTCTTGAACGCTGTTACATAGGCAGTAACAAGCAGAAAATCAAGGCATTTTCCTTCACCATCACCATATGTGCCACCTCTCTGCAGAGCTGCGGCACAGGCAGCACAAGACTGCTGGCACAGTAATTGCCAAGCCACGTTTTCAGAAGTCAGCATGACAAAGTACTTCCCTTTTGCCATGCACAAAGAAATGCTGGCTTACACAGACGAGAGTCTCAAGTAGGATAAGAATACGGAGGCACTTCACTCTATTTTCTCAAACTGAAAGGAATCAAATGTCTACTTAAGGATAAAACAAAGCAAGAAAACAATCACCCATGGAAAGCACACAAACCTTTGCAGGCCCTTCAGATCAAAGTGCTCCAATAGCAGTAGCTATAGAAGCTGTTACGCTCTACAGTTCCTCTGGTAGCTTTGTGGTTGGAGGTGGTGATCTTTCCGTGGGCTTTGGAGTGTTTGTTTTTAAGCACCAGTAAGAAACATCACCAGTCTTTTATCTGCACATCAATAAAGCAGAGAATACAGCTCTGAGCAGCCATCTGCCAGGACTTGTTTTAAGAAGCAGTCAAGGGAGTTGACAAGGCCCCATTTTCCAGGTCTTCTGATCGGGTCCTCAGTGCAATCTGTTGCCAGGACCTTGAACAGCCACAGCATGCAAATACAGTTTAATAATGGAGTCTTACAGAAAACAGAGGCTGGCCTGAAATCGTGCATCTATACAGATGAGCAAAAAGGGCTCAAGTCAGGGCTTAAGATTTATCACATCATATAAATGCATAATACATGCACTTCAGGAGAGATCCTGAATTCTCCTATAAATACGCTCATTTAAAAAAAAAAAAAAAAGTTAAACTCAGTAGCTTCCTCAAATTAAAATCCCGAATAAACCAACAGCAGTTGTTCAAACACACAGCACTGGACATTTGCAGATGGCAACAACAGCGCAGATCATTATTCCTACTGCCGCGGCTGCAATGATGCAGGTTATCACTTGACAGCTGTCAGCACTGTACCTCGCTAACTCAGGGTGGGACTCTAACCCACAATCCCTGGAATTGACCTGAGTTCTAGATGGTTATGAACTCGTGATTAAAAGTGCCCAAGCGCTAGCCTAGCTTAAAAGTGCTAGCCAGAGGTGGGGCTCGAACCCACAATCCCTGCAATCAGACACAGTGCTACAAGGCACCTGTCCTTCCCGGTCATTACCTTCCCGCCCCGCACCCCTGCACTAGTCCACTCTCAGGGTAAAGCCCTCCCGCGTGGGGCGGCCCCTCACGTCCGACGGAGTTCCCGGCTCCAGCGTACGCCTTACGGAGCCTTCCCTTTAAACGTACCTGGTCCGCTTCCAGATGGTCCTCGTCTGTCCCCGCAGTGATCGGATGAGCAGAGGGAGTCCTTCCAACAATTCTCGGGGCGCGCCAAAGGCGTCTCCCTCCTCAACTGGTCCTGCAGCCGAACAGAGAGTGTCCCATCTGGGGTGCCCAACTGATCTGCGGAATCAAACTCTCGAACCCACGTCAGGTTAGGAGAGCAGAGACGTCTTTCTTTCAGCGCTGTGCCACACGCCGGGCGCAAGGGGGATCGCTCCTCCTAGCGTGCGTGCCACAGTGGGGTCTCGATACATTCATTAGCCCAGCCGTATATATCCAGTAGTATTACCCAAAACGGGGAAGCAGCGCGGCCGTGGCAGCACTGCGGGGAAACCTGCTGCGCTGCAGCGTGTGCCCAGTGCCTCCGGTCCCCCTGCTGGGCACCGCCGGGTGCAGCCTGGCCCCGTCCTCTCCGCACCTCCCTGCACGGGGCGGGCGGCGGCGGGGCGGCGGGGCGGCGGGGCAGCTAAACGCCGCTTCCCCCGCGCGGAGCCCCGCGGCTCCGCCATCATGCCGACCCCGTGTCCGCGGCCGCCATTGGCGGAGAGCCCACGCTCGCCCCCCATCCTCCGCGCTGCCATTGGTCGGTCCGCCGGATGGGGCGGGCGCCCCGCGCGGGCTCCGTTCCGGCCGCGGTCGCGCCGTCATTGCGTCATCTCCGCGCGCGTCCGGCATGGCCCCGGGCCCGGGCCCGGCCCGGCCGCCCGCGGCGCAGCTCTGCGCCGTGCGCCCGCTCTGCATCCAGGGCCCCGGGGCGGCTGGGCCCCGGCTGGGACTGCGGGCAGAGGACGAGGAGGGCGGGGACGCGGGGGACGGCAGTGCAGCCCGCCCCAAACGTAGTCCAAGTGCCCGCACAGCAACACCTCCACGAGGAGCAGGTCGGCATCGCTGTGGAGCAGCCCAGCCTCTTGGAGAGGAGTAGAATCAGGCAGCCGGTCCCAGGCAGCGGGCAGCACATTCAAGTGTGATGCACTCACACTTCTCTCTAAATTCTGTGCTTGATTAAATCCGAAGAAATCCTTATACCATGATGCTTTCAACCAAATGATGTCAAAATATTCTTTCTCACCCTTCACTTCCCTTTCCTGCACTTGAAGCAGCAACCTGCTGATCACTGGGGGCTCAGTTTACTATCAGAGATTGTCAGTGGTCATCTGAAGGCTTTGTTGGCTGTCAGAGGGCTCCACTGATCATCAGAGATCTTCATTGACGGTCAGAGGTCAATGATTAATCAACAGAAGGTGTCATCGGTCATCAGAGAGGAGATTTGAGGTGTCTAAGAGAGGGGATTTGGGGACTCCACGTTGGATAGTGATGGAGGGGAAGTGGGACTGAAGGAGGAGGGCTGAAGCAGATCCAAGTGAGGAGCAATTGGCTGCGATAGGGGAGGGGGTAAAAGGAGAGTGACCTGGGGACATCGTGGCCATGGAGGTGGAACAGAGGGTGAAGGGTTTGGCAGCAACCAGAAGGAGGAATTGGGAGAGAGCAGATGGAGGGTATTGGGGCTGCTAGGTGGCATGGGGTGCTCTGTCCTTTAGGATTTTGGAGGAGGCAGCACAGAGGGGATGGAGAGATCCACGGGTGCAGGACGTGGGGTGCGGGGCACGGAGCTGGGGACCCCTCGAGCACCTAGGGGTGGTGTCTGCCAGACAGGGACAGATGTGAGCGGTTCCTGCTGAGCGTGGGGACAAGGATGCAGACACACAGAGCGTGGCTTTGCTGAGGGCTTTGTTGATCACTGGAGGATGTCAGCGATCATCAGGATCTTCCTTCTTCAGAGGACTCCATTGGTCAGCAGAGGATGTCGGAAGGTGTCACTGACCATGGAGAAGCCTTGTCCGTGCAGGGTTTGTGCCCCAGGACTTTGGGCAGGAGGAGGGCTGGCAGCAGCCCAGGGCAGGATGTGGCTCCCCTAGGGACAGCAGCCACAGCCCCTGTCCCACCTCCACAGTGACCCTGGGCCATCCGTAGGCAGCTCGAGACCCTCCTCCTCTGCACCACAGATCACGAGGGAAGGTCTGGGGGTGGCAGTGGTCCCCATGGAAAGGGGTGGGGGATGGTGCCCTCCATCCCATCCATCCCCAAGCCCTGATGCCCAGTGCTCAGGGCTCCGGAGAGCCCCAGGGGCCCTCAGTGTCCCTGTTCCAGTGCCACGCTTATTGTAACGGACTTCATCCTTGTGTCCAATCTAAAGATCTGTCCCTTGCTTTTTGCAGCCCCCCTTGAGATACTGAAGGCCACCCTTAGGAGGTCTTCTCTTCTGCTGGCTGCCAAATTCATTGCGTATCATGAAGTGCTTCGTAAGGACAAAGCAGTGGAACGTCTTTATCCTCAACAGAATAAATTTTAAAAGCCAGATTGGCTCTGCTATAGAAGCAGATGTCAAATGTGGTTTTTCTTCATCGAAAACTGATGTCTGGCAACTTGGAGACTAACGTATATGTGTATAGAGATTTTTTTTTCCCTTTTAATTTTAATAGTAAACTGAGTCTATACTTTTAATTCATGATGAAATGCTAAAAATGTGTACTCTTGTTTTCTGCCAGTGCTGGGCTGACAAAGTTTTTGGCCATTCTGTGGCATGGAATGCAATCAGCATGGAAGCATCGTTTGTTGTTGTGGATTCTGAGTAAGATTTCTCACCCTCTGCTCATGATGGGTAAGAGTTCAGATGTCCAATGAGAATGCTTGAGCTCTGCTTCTCCAACATGTGTTTTTGTGTAAGTAAAATTGAACCAGTGACTCATTTCTAGCAGTGGTGACCAGCTCAGATGTGTTGGATGGTATCGTGGACATTGAGGAGCTGCTCACCTGGATCAGCAATGAGTTTGAGGACGCAGAGCTGGCGGGTGGGTGTCTGCACAGAGTGGATGTAGCAAGGCAGCTGTCACCGTTAGGGGGGATGCTCTGGCTGTTTCAGACATGGCAGGTGCTCTCAAGAATCCCCGGGAGAACCAAGATGGGGCCAAAGTCAGAGAGAAATACCTGAAGGGCGACCTGCTTCAGGACGAGCTGCTGGGGGAAGTAGACAGCGAGGAAAGAGAACAACTCATTGCATGGATCAGTGCCACAGAGCCACAAATCCCTGATGTCTCCAGCAGACAATGGAGAAAAGAAACGGGAAGGGAAGGGAAGGGAAGGGAAGGGAAGGGAAGGGAAGGGAAGGGAAGGGAAGGGAACGAGTGGAGGTGGGGGTGGGGTATGGAGGGCAGATTGGGGAGGGCAGGGGATGGGATAAGAAAGAAGTGAAACACCAGATAAAAGACCAAAGAGATACTAACTCCAGAGAGTCTCAAAATGAGCTTAGCGGAACAATGCCCCCGACCACACAAGCTGGCGCCTGCTCCAGCCAGCTGGACCCCTTGGGACCAGAGGGATAGAAAAGGCCAGCAGCAAAAACCTACAGCACCCGGTATTCCCAGGAGGTCTCCCATCCAAGCACTAACCAGGCCTGACCCTGCTTAGATTCACAAGATCAGACGAGATCGGGCGTTACCAGAGTGGGATGGCCGTAGGTGCCTCATATTCCTGCTCCAGCCCTCTTCTCATCTTCACACCATGGACACCAACCAGCACCACTTGGCCTTCAGCCATCAAGCAGTGAAATGAGACCATGAACAGAGGTGGACATCAAACAGCTCCCCACACACGTGCACCATGCCGCAGTGAGCACTGACCCATGTCCAGCATGGCAGACCTCAATGC